AACCTGTAAAAGTACAGGTTGTACTTTTCTTTACCACATTTAATTCAGTTACCTTCAGTCCATTTCCCCATTCTATCAAGATTATTTTTAATTTTATTTCTACCTCTTAGGGCAGTGGTTCTCAACCTGTGGGTTGGGACCCCATTTGGGGTCGAATGACCATTTCACGGGGGTCGCCAAACAACACAGTCCACCATTTTTCCCCCTTTTCCTTAGCTGTGCTACTCCCTTTTTTTCTATTGGCTTTTGAAAGCCAATAGAATAGACTCTCTTGAATAGAGTCTAATTCTATTGGCTTTCAAAAGCCAATAAGAATTGTCCAGGCTGTCTCTGCCCTGCTGAGCCTGCCAAAAGTCCCATTCTGCAAACGGTGTTGCACCAGTTGAGTAGTCCTCGACTTACGACCGGTGGAGTAGTCCTCGACTTATGACCAGTTGGGGGTCACGGCATTAAAAAGGTTGAGAACCACTGTCTTATGGGTATTAACTATTCCACTCACTCTGTATCCTCTGCATTCATTCATTCATTCATTCATTCAATTTCTACACTGTCTATCTCACTTAAGTGACTCTGGATGGTTTACAACAGTGGTTCTCAACCTTTCTAATGCCATGACCCCATAATACAGTTCCCCATGTTGTGGTGACCCCCAAGTGGGTGTGGCCACCAATAAGAGGGAGTAGGACAGCTAGGGAAAAGGGAAAAATGGCGGACAGCGTGGTTTGGCGACCCCCATGAAATGGTCGTTTGACCCTAAATGGGGTCCTGACCCACAGGTTGAGGACCACTGGTTTACAATAAAACCATTAAGAAAATATAGTTAAAAGCAATATTAAAACAGACTTAAAATGTTAAGAATTACAACAGTTAAAAAGAGAAGCTAAGGAAGCAACCAAACTGTGGAATAAATGTATGGGTGAAGTCATCAAGGCTCCCCCCCCCTCTTTTTGAAAATGTAGGGTAAATCTCAGGATTGCAACCTAGCAACTATAGGAGAGAACAGGCTATCATATCAATACTCTGAAGTAATTCTCACCGCTCAGAGATCCAGCAAGATTAGTTGCAATGAGATTTCAATCCAATTTTCTCTGGAACGGGGCAAACATTTCTATGTAAATTGAGGTAGTTGAAATGGATATTGAATTTCATATATGAAAATCTGCTCTCAGAAACCTTAAAAATAGCAATGGGGCAAACATTTCTATTAAATTGAGGTAGTTGAAATGGATATTGAATTTCATATATGAAAATCTGCTCTCAGAAACCTTAAAAATAGCCACAGTAAAAGGATTTAAGTTCTGTTTCTAAAATATGACAGCATCGTGTCTATTTTGTAAATGCATCATCCACATTCAGAACATTATGAAATCTCTAGAATGAGTTGCTACTGTACAGTGTTTGAACTTTGACTTGAGGAAATGAGTATTGGGTATATGCGGACAGAGAATCTTGGCAGTGGAATGGATCAGTTCTACTACAAACACTTTGTTTATTCCAGGGAAGAAGAACTGTTCTGTTGCCAAGAGCTTACAGCTGCAAACAAGCCAACGTGGTTGGTCTTCAGACTTGAAAACTTTATTAATAACTCATTAAGAACTTTACTCATTTTTAGTCAACTGTCAAATTATGCACTGGGAATAAAATACCACAACTTTGACGTAGATGTACTTCTGAGAAGAATAAATAATGGAAATTGGTTAGCTTAGATTTATGACCAATTCGTGCTAGTATATTGGCTACAATGTTATCTCACAACATGCTTATAAATATAATCTATTTCTGGATGTAAATAGGAATTTATTGGACTGATGGCTTAATAGACTTCAGGTTGTACTGAATCACTTTGCAAATGTGTAAGTTGGCCTTTCATGTAGCAAAAGTAAAGTCTTGCTTGAATTGATCTCAAGTCCTGGTGACTACATGGAGACGTCCATCACTAGGGGCTTTGTGTGTAAATGAATTGGTAACAGTTTGGAAGTGGTTGCCATTGCCTATTTAGAGCAGGGCTTTTCAATCTTTTCACTGATTGTACCACTTTTAGGATATGGCAACATCGAGTAGCGCCCGTGCAAGGTGTCAAAAACTTGATGACCCCCCAAAAAGGAAAAAAGTGATAAAAGTACAGGTAGTCCTCAACTTATAACAGTTTGCTTAGTGACTGTTCGAAGTTACAGTGGCACTGAAAAAAATGTTCCCCAAGCCACAGCCGAGCAAGACACCTGTCTGCCCGCCTGGTGGCGATTTTCCTCCTGTCCAAGGTTTCCATTGTTGTGAGCATTTCTGTCTGTAGACATAAAGCCACACAATGCAGATTTGGTTAAAAAAAAAAATTGCAATGAGTCCTGCTTCAAGGTCTGTACAGAGTTACACTTTTATGTTATTGTATATACCTATTTATTAAAACATCCAGCTTTCTTCAGTAAGTGGCAATATAATGGCAGTCTAAATCTCTCTTTTCCTTTGCCGTGGCTGCTGGATAATTCCATTTCAAAACAAAACAACAGAAAAACTATAGACATGTGCACTAGATTGGAAAATATGATTGGGCAGCTAAAGTAGACGAGAAATTACAATGGTGCTGTCTTCTTTTATCCTTCCTAAAGCTACCAGATCTGGGCACTAGGCTACTGAAATCCTGACAGGAGGAAAAAGGAAAAAGTATAAATGCTAAATGAGAAGCACTGGGATATATACTGACTTCTCTGGGCCTCAGTGCAAACCCAATGGGACTCCCATTATAGTTGTAGTAATCAATTAAGGAGCTAATGGTTACTTCTGAGAGAGGAGATCTCTTCTAGTGCAAGGGGTTTGCACATTCAAGCTTCTCTTCAAGAACTACAGCAGAGATCTGGCCTGCAAATTCCCATATATCCACTACAGGGCAAAACTAGTTTTCTGTACAATATCTATTTGCTACCATCTTAATAGTAAGCATTCACTTTCCCTGTTTTTTCAGTTTTCTTATTTTTGTCCATTTGTAGACACTTTGGCTTCATTGGTGCTTTAAATCAGGGGTCCCTGATTTAAATCAGGAGTCACCAACCTATGGGCTGCGGCCCACTACTGGGCTGTAGCCACTTGGCCATCAGGCTGCGTGAAGGGATGGCCAGTGCACACGCACATGTGCGTGCACTCACCCCCCCCACTTGCACTAGTGCTACCCCAAGCGTCCCACCAACGTTAGTGCCACCCCAAGCGTCCCACCAACGCTAGTGCCACCCTGCCCCCAGAGTGTCGCACTCGTACTAGTGCCACCCATAGCATCGCGCCAGTGCTAGCTCCACCCCATTTGCAGCACTTGCATCACACAGCCACATTTGCATGTACGCACATGCGCTGACACACGGCCCATTTGTGCGCGTGTGCACAGTATTCATTTTTGTGCATGCACACGCTTGGCTTATTTGCGCATACACATGTAGCGATGCCTGACTCCCTTTCCGGGCTGCCAAATCAAAAAGGTTGGAGACCTCTGCCTTAAAACTGCAACTAGCATCCTGCCTAGTGGATTGAGAGGCATTTATCCCAGATTTTGAGTTTTCTTTCTTTTTTTAGCTATGCTTACTGATACACATAAAAGGATTTGGTGGTGGGGGGGTAGGAATCGTTTTTACAAGCTGACTTACAGATTTAACTGGAGAACTAAAATCCGGTATGCATAATGAATTGCACTAAGCTTAAAGAAGAGAGACTAGAAAGAATGAGTAAAATGTGCAAAAAAAGAAAAAGAAAAAAAAGTAAGTTTCATCACAAGACATTTAGTGATTTTTCTCCCCCTCTAAAGTTACAGACATTTATTTCTTCATCCCACCTCCCATCTCTTTTATCTAGATACAAATCCATATCAATTGCTAATTCATGACATTTAAGGTTAACATGCCATTTTTTACACAATTTTCTTCATGTCTGTTTAGAAACATGGAAACAGATTTTGGGAGGGAATAAAATATAAAGGAAATGGCATCAATTTTCATAGCAATTCCACTTAGTGTAATTATTCAGAAGAAACACAACCTGAATTTAGGAAATCCTCAGTCTCCTACAAAGAAACAACAACAAAAATCCCCCTTTATTAACATATTTCCAGAAAATTTAAAATAATTCTTCCAATTTAAAGATAAATGGTTTGAAGTGAGAGAAACCTAACTTTCCATTTGGATAACTAGAATATTAATGTATTTTACTGTTCCCCATCCTCACTCCATGGGCAACTAAAACCAATGTCTTTTTCATGTGAATAAAATTTATAATGAAGTATTTTACATTATATTAGACAGATTACTAGGCAAAAAAGAAAAAAAAAGCTGCACACATTCCTCATAATTAAGGAGCTAAATATTTATTCAAGAGAAATAGAATTAGGAGCCACATTCATTTCAAACGCTAGCATTGGTAGCTTTATCGTTTGCCTCATTCAGTCTCATTCTGAAACTTGTTTCTCTTGGTTTCACAATTTTGCTTGCAGTTTATAATTTGAAAAGTAACTTTTGATTACAAACCACAAACACTGAACTTGATCTGATGAGAATGCCAAGACAATGTTACACCCACGTTCCTCCCTTGACTGGTTGGCTGATTCATCCCCAGGGTCTCTTTTTATAATCACCTACCATCTTTATCTTTTTGTTGCCATAAAATAGGCTTTTCTTTTCTACATCCCACTTATCCTGCTTACAGGCTATATTCTAGAAGATATTCTGATTATGCTCACCATCGTCAATCACATCATCTACCCAAGCAAAAGGAACTTGCCAGCCTGTGCTGATTTGGACTCCTTTATATTATTCAGGAATTATATAGTCTGGGAAGCCGTCCTGCAAGAAATGTAGAAAACTGAAATGAATTCAGTGCCTCCCGCACTCCCTCTTCCCTTCCTCTCTATTGGCTGATCACTAAACCAAGGGGGATGGGGAGGAGCTGCCTCTAACTACCTTTTTATCCCATCTCCCATATAAGAAGCAGCAGAAAGCAGGCAGGCAAACATTGCATAGACAGCTGAGTAGTATTTGTGTTCTGAAACAATTGTTTTAAAAAGCCCAGTAGCTGCTGCTGCTGCTGCAGCATTTCATTTCTGGTGCTTTAGTTTTACAGATTGAGGCTCCAGGAGATAAAGAGAAGAAAGCCACCCTCAGATGCCTCATCCCGGTGAATACAGGCACTTGTGGGGTTGGCAAAACAGGCATTAATTGGCAGAGACCTGACCAATTTCTTACATATCAAATCTGTTTTCTTTCTGAGGTACACCCTGCTGCTCCAGGGAATGGCATCTGGAAATTCCTAGCACTGAAAATCCCAGGGTACCATTCAAAGAAGAGAGAGAGAGAGAGAGACTTGGGATGAGTGGAATTAATCTGCAAGCTGCAAGTTGGCCAAGCAAGATGTGCTTTTGGATGAAGACACAGTAAAATGAATTTCACTTACCGCTATGGAGTTCATTGGCCTCTTCATGCATGGAACCACAGCCATGGACTACATCACAGTGATCTGAATAGTTCGGTGGAAAAGGGCTATTCTTCAGAAGGGTGTTATGAGCAACTTTTCGTCTCCCCAGAAGTCTTTGTGACCTTAGGCTTTGTCAGTTTGCTTGAGAATGTGCTGGTGATTGCAGCTATAGCCAAGAATAAGAATCTGCACTCCCCAATGTACTTTTTCATTTGCAGCTTAGCGGTGGCCGATTTGCTGGTGAGCATCTCCAATGGATCAGAAACCATCGTCATCACCTGGCTAAACAATACGGAGGTTGACGCGCACAGTTTTACCGTTAGCATCGACAATATAATTGACTCGGTGATTTGCAGCTCTCTGTTGGCCTCCATTTGCAGTCTGCTTTCTATAGCTGTGGACAGGTATTTCACAATCTTCTATGCTCTCCAGTATCACAACATCATGACAGGGAGGCGTGTCGGTATCATCATCACCTGTATCTGGGCAGCTTGCACCATGTCAGGTGTCCTATTCATTATTTATTCTGACAGCAGCATTGTGATCATTTGCCTCATCGCCATGTTCTTCACCATGTTAGTCCTCATGGCCTCTCTCTACGTCCACATGTTCATGCTAGCCCGGCTGCACATGAAAAAGATTGCAATTCTTCCAGGCACAGCCCCAATTCGTCAAGGGGCCAATATGAAGGGAGCTATAACATTGACCATCTTGATTGGAGTCTTTGTAGTATGCTGGGCCCCACTTTTCCTCCACTTGCTTTTCTACATTTCATGTCCTCATAATCCCTATTGTATCTGTTTTATGTCCCATTTTCACCTGTACCTCATTCTAATCATGTGTAACTCCATTATCGATCCGCTTATCTATGCCTTCCGAAGCCAAGAGCTGAGGAAAACCTTCAGAGAGATTATGTGCTGCTGTAGCCTGAGACAGTCATGTGATTTCTCAGGAAAATATTGAATGCATATGAAGAAGCTATTGCAGAAAGGCATTTTCCTCATAGATTGAAGTCTCCTCTAGTGCTGCAGAGCATCTGGCTTCATTAGTCACAAGGAATATATTTTGAAGAGTACCTGGTACATGAATGTTTGCTTCTGTTCTAAGCTTACAAACTACATGTGTAATCATTTCAAGGTTGAAGTGATGTTAGTGATGGTTAGCAATGACCCAGCAGGCTGTCAGAATTGTGAGAGAACAATGAAACTGTGTTGAGGAACAGGGAAAAAAAAGTATTACACACAACTAAGTCCTTTGCTTTCCTTAGCTATTTATATTTAAAACTTGGGAGCTTGCATTATCTTGGCCTTGTATGTGTATGGTTAAATCAAATTAGAGTTTATTAGAGAGTTGTGCTTTATGTCACATTTTGCTCAAATGATTGTTAAAAAATTGCATCTTGCATTTTGTTCTTCAGACAATAGACACAGTGAAGATAAAATGTAACTCAGCTGGAATCCATTATTGGGGTGGATTGGTCTGGGAAATTGGGAACAGTACTTTGAAAGTATTCATGTTTTTGAATATGACCATAAGAAATATATTTGTTATGTATTATATATATATTTACTTTTTTACTCAATTGAAACAATTTTCTATTAAGTAATCTATATAACATGCAGTTAAAATTGTGAAATTAAATATATAAAATGACTTGCACTGAAAATGTACAAGAGAAAAGTCTGTTAGGGTAAGAAAAACCGAAATGTGGGGCACACAGACATAGCCTTCATGAAAGAAACATGAAAAATATAAGATCACTTGTTAAAAATCATGTCAAAATGAATGTATCAAAGAAAAGCAACAATAAAAGTGTGGCTTTAAACACCAAGCAAATGTGGTAAAAATTAAATATTTATCATTGGTTTTAGAGCACAGATCTTGCACCTCTATTTAACAATGAATTCACCTTTGATGCCACTTCATCAATATCAACATATAATCAGTATGACTGAGACAACAACTTCTGGAAAATGGTTTGAATGGTTGTTATACTATTATATTATTATGATTCATTGATCAGCCAGATGTTTAGACTGAATTTGGCATTTTTATCTACTTATCTAATCCTTCTCAAGAACCTACTATAAGATAGACAGATATTGTTATTTGATGATATTAAAGGTATTAATGGTATTAAAGGTATTGTCACATATGTAATCTGTTTGAAGTAAAGCAATTAACTTTGTCAATGCCATGGTTATTATTATTGGTAGTAGCAATACATTTATTTTTCCCCCTCAGATGTGAAGAGATACTACTTTTTTGCCTCAGGAACAAAACAAAAAAAAAAGCTTTTACTTTTGTGAGTGTATGTGTGTGTGGGGAGTGTAATCCTCATTGTTGAGATGCTAAGGTCTTGTTCTTACCTGAGCATCCAAGAGGTGCAGCTAAATACCCAGTCTTTCATTATACAATAATTCTCTTATCACTTTATAACCATCTTGACACTTATGCTTCTGTTAAATCCAAGACCATCTAAACACAGCATATTTTGCCTGCAACACATTAGTACTGCTGCCTCAGCTGACCACCCTTCTGAATTCTTACCAGGATTTTGGAAAGTTATCAGATGAAGTCTCATTCCCCACCTCACTGCAATGACTTTCATGTTTAAGAGTTTTCCCCTCCCACAAAGCAGTAACCAAATAAAATAACAAGCTGCAAGGAACAGACATACATGCAAGGAGAATAACAATATGCTTATACTAAACCAATACAATTTAAGAGAATTAACAGCTGTGCAAAAGTCATACCAAAATTAAGTCTTTTCAAGAATACTTGTGTCAACTTGACAAAACACTATAGTATATGTTGTTTAAATAACCAGCACTCAAATAAATAAATATGGTTGTGTTTGTCCAGTCTTATTGAGTCAATTACTTTTCAATCAAGTCTACACTCCATTTGTTTCTATACCAGGGCTTTTCAACCAGTGGTATGGGTACCACCTCTGGTACATTGGCACCTGGCAGGTGGTATGCGACCATCCTAAAAAGTGATAGCAGGGGAGGGGAATGAGCTGAACCGGTGGCAGCACCGCACAAGCCTGAGCGAGAAATGATTGGAGCTGCAGGGCTCAGCGGAAGCGCCAGGATCAGTGCCATTTTCCAGCTGATCGGCACTTCTTCGGGACTGTCAGGGCTCAGTGGAAGTGCCAGGATCAATGCCAGGCTCCAGCTGGAGTTCGGCGCTGATCTTGGTGCTTCTGCTGAGCCCAGAAGAAGCACCGATCAGCTGGAATGTTGCAGCATCTCCAGGGTCTTGTGATTTACATTCAGATGCTTGGCAACTGATTCATATTTATGATGGTCACAGTGTCCCAGGGACATGTGAATTAACCAAACCCTGCTGCAACCACCCAGCAGACAGGGATAATAAAAACCAAACATCCCACCCCCACCCCCACTGCCAATCCTCAACAGAAATGTTCACAACAATGGCAACCTTGGACAGGAGCAAGTTTTTGACACCTTGCTAGACAACTGGCGGTACTCGGATATTGCCATATCCTAAAAGTGGTACAATGGGTGAAAAGGTTGAAAAGCCCTGTTCTATACCACTTAGCAAGAGTAAAAACATTATTAACCTCTATTTAAAAGCAACTCTTCAATGTGCTCCAATCAATATACTGCTGCTATATCGAAATGGTCACCTTTAAGTTTCATCACAAGTCACTAATGGAGCACTCCTCAGAGGTTGAGGAGGAGCCGAGATGGAAGAACCACAGTTTCTAATCTTTTATATATGCACCAGCTGACCAAGAGCAATACAACTTTTATTTGGCGCTATCGCTTAATTTCCACCCGTTGATTCTAGTGAGAGAGAAATTTATATTCCTACTGATTACCCACGCAATATCTTTTGTTTTGTGTTTTTCAAAATGTCGACTGAGCATTCTTCTAAACTTTGTGATTGTAATGCCCTTCTCCAAAATAAACCCATCAGGAGTTCAGAGGGGAAAAGCTATGAAACCATACAAAATGAAGAGTTATTGAAAAAACTTCTATGACTTGGAAGTATGACAACTTGAGGTACCTGATTCTAGAAGCCTATTCAGTTAAAGCATTTATAGATATATTTTTAGTTTTTCCTTATAGTATTGCAAGAGTCTCTATAAACCATTTGTCATACCAGGAATGCAGGATTCTCTGTGTGCTCCCTTGTACCCATACTGTGTCACCATGACATGATATAGATTAATATCTATAGAAAAATATAACACTCTGAAATTCTTCAATTTCTGGGAACCCTAATATGTTAAGATTTTGAGCTTTTAATTATCTCTATATTTGGCAGACCCTTCAAACTCAAAATATACTTAAAGCAGCAAAATGCTGTTTTAATTAGATTTTGATATTGATGCCAACAGTTGCAAATGGTAAGTTCTACAGTATATTCATATGTGTCACCACAAGAGAATAGAAAATGAATGGGTGTTATAAGGACGATCACATTTAAAATTTTCAAAATATATTATTCAATAAATGTACAAGGCTTTCTAGAATAGTCCGTGTAAATGAATGCCTCTGCAATGTAGTATTTTACACTGATTAAAAGTAAAATTAATTAATACATGAATATCCCAAAGGTGCTTTTTCAAAAGGCAACTGGACTTCCCCTGTTTTTCCTTGAGGACATTCCGCTTCTCATCCAAGAAGCTCCTTCAGTTCTTCACTGAAGCTTCACTTTAGAACTGAAGAAGCTTCTTGGATGAGACATGAAACACCTTCAAGGAAAAACAAAGAAAGTCCAGTTGCCTTTTGAAAAAGCACCTTTGGGGCAACCATGACCATGATGACTGATAGTCTCCATAGACATAATACAAGAATAAAATTCAGATCCAAGGATATTTTTTAAGGTTGTATTTCGGATGTAATGGAAGAGCAGCCAAACTTTTTATACCATTATAACCCTGAGTGCTGACATGGATGGAAAAATGGCGTGCAATCACTTCAAATGACCCATTTCTCTTACAAAATATTAATAAAAAAGAAGGACCTTTTCAGGTGATCTCAGTAATCAGTACCAAGTCTTATTCTGCCACTAGAAGCTCAAAACATTTTATTAACACCATGAATGTAGATAACTTTCTGACCCATCCAGATTTATAAAATCATTTGTATTTCAGTTCAGTACAATAGATATTGTTGGGAGGAGGTAGAGACCAAATACAATTGTTATTATCTGCTTGCTCATTAGGGTACTTACAGAGTTTGTTGAAAAGAAGCCACTCAAAGATTTAAACATTATTCATTCTCATTCTAACAGTATGACTTATAACAATAACGTAGCTATATCTCCTTTCATTTTGTCATTTTTGGAACCTTCTGAGACCCTGCCATCAAAATTTGTCAGGAAACTACTTTAAAAAATGCAGTGATTTCTAGAAGACTGTTATCAAGAAATGAAACAAAATAAATATTAAGATTAGGAGAGAAATACCCTGAAACTCCTAATCCTGCCCATTGTTTAAACAAAGGGCATCCATTGGCAACTGAATACCATTCATCATGGCACTAAAATATACAAAAAAATAGCAGTGAGTTGATAAGAATTTAAGCATCTTGATGGTGATTCAATCAACAGATTTTATTTCCTTATAACATGGATAAATTACTAATTAAAATACTATTTGTTGGCATATCTGTTACAATATATAAGAATGGACTATAAACAGTTTTTCAACCATCTGAGGCTATCTAAAGGGTATATACCAGTGGTGGCAAACCTATGGCACGAGTGCCAGAAGCAGCACTCAGAGCCCTCTCTGTGGGCACATGCGCTGTCGCCCCAGTCTTAGGCCTTCAGCTGGGTTTTATAAAACCTTTTTGCTTTAGGCCTCCGCCGCCGTGTGCAAAAAAAAAAAAAAAAGGTTCAATCAATCAGTCAATTTCAACTTCTTGCGGGGAAAAAAAAGATCTTGCAAATTTGGAATTGATTGATTGAACTTTTTAATCCCACCCAGTCTGCCATTACCGCCACAGCCATGCTCACCCAATGGGCCACACCCACTCAATTGGCCACACCCAGCCAATGGACCACACCCACCCAGCACCCGATGATGCATAAGTGGGTTTTGGGTTGCAGTTTGAGCACTCGGTCTCTAAAAGGTTCGCCATCACTGGTATATACAATCTACCTTCCATTATGCTGTTAAAAAAATACAAATGTTACATTTCCTTTTCATGTACAGGGTTTTACATGAAATTATCATCACTGTGATATTTTCAGCCATACTGTCAGTTAGCTTTCCTGCTAACTGGGAATCACCTGAGGTTAATCAGTTTTTAGAGTAAGAGTATCTAGAGAAATTTTTATCTACTTAATTATTTTAATGTTTAGCTAAATAAAATAATTTAGAATTAAAGACCTAATATAACTATCATTGTGTATGATCAATTTATCCAAAAAGATAGACCCTATTTTTGTTTGAAGGGGCTGGAGGGGATGGAGAGAAAATACATATACTGTAAGCAACATATTATTGCATTCTGACAATGAATCAAATTACTTGCAGTATTGTTAGACTCCAAAAAAGATAAATGTTACCTATTTAAATGTTATTACTATTTTTAATTGATAAGAAAATATTTCCAAGTGGTTTACAAATCCATTTAAACAAAAAAAGTGGCCACAGGCTTGGGAACTATCAGCAAAACACAAGAGGAATAAAAATTACAAGGTAAGAAGAAAACAAATCAACAAGGCATTGCATTCATTATGGAACTAATGTCTAAAATTAATCAACTGGGTT